GTTGATTTCAATCTCTAGAAATTTATGAATTTTTAGTAGCTCTTGATGGAATTCAAATTGCACTGACAATTAACATTCATATTAAAAACTTGTACGATGCAATATACCAAATTTATTTTGTAATTCAGGAAAATAATTTTAAAAGACTTCTATTCTTAAAACAAGTTACGTTAAATTGTGTAATGTATAATAAATATCTAGTGCGAAAAGCTCATTATTGTGTAATGATCTTGCAGCAAATTGTGTTTTTGCACATTTTAGTCCATAGTTTGTACGAATTGGTGAACACAATCTATCCTGAATGTCATTGAAAAGATTCTGCTTCTTGTTTGAAAAGTCAATGTCTTTGCCAACTCGGACAAAAGCTTTGAGTTTATTTTCAAGTACTTCCGACGATTCTAACTGATGATAATTTATAACTATGATTTGCCTTTTCTTGTTTAGTTTAAAGCTATGTCATATGTACTAGTATTTCCACTCGACAGTTGCCCAAACGGTTTCGTCTGTGTGAAATTTGTCACAAAGTATGATTATATAGTTCTTGCAGATATTTATTGTATCTATCAATGCTTCTTCCCTGACGTCCCCAAACTTCTCATCTCTACACGGTATAAAAATCCTATACCCAAAATCGTGCAAGTATGAGGCCAATGTCTTCATTGCCCACATCATTATCATCAAAAGATATAAAAACGTAGTACTTGAGATATGGATAAACTTTCGAACATTTCTTACTTATAAACCGTCTCTTTAAAATAAACAGTTCGTAGCGGAATGTATATAATACACCACAAATTCCCAAGAGCAGAGCAATGATTATTCCAATTAGAATATTAGAAAATATGTCAAATTTGTGTCATCATTGCAAAAATTCTCTAAACTAAATCAATCGTTGAAACATACATTTCTCCGATAAAGCATACAATTTCTGTGGTGTTTTTGCATTGTTCTGCTCGCTTATTTTTTACCCAGTCTTCCAGCCATTCATCATCACAATCGCATGACATTTTATCTTTCCCAATTTCGTTATGTAGGGATCAAATGATTTAAAATCTCGCGGCAGCTCATACATTTTGTTGCCAGACAAATCAAGAATTGCGTTGTTGCCTGTAGATTCTATGGCATTACTTGATATTGTATGTATCTGATTGTTTGATAGACTAATGGTATACGACCTGTTGAAATATTCCCGATGTTCTAAAGATTCTATATTGTTACCTTCAAATAGTAAGGTTACATTTTCTCCTTCCGGGACATGTTGCGGCAATAGAGTTAACCCAACTCCAGTAAAATTCACAACAGTTCTCCTGTTTTTTCGGTTGATAAAAAACAGTGACATTCTTTCGAACATTTATCAGCAGACGTTTTGTTACAAATAAGCAAATCAAGTTTATCCCCTTTCACAAAATGTTCCGTTATTGACAGTCCACGGTATTCAGGTGGTTCCCAACATGCAACGTTATAGTAATCACGCTAGATTCTTTTTAACGCATCTTGTGTTAGCTCATGAAACGGTTCCATTCGGCAATCACAAGTCCATTTTATCTTTTGCAAAGATAATCCGAATTGCAATGTCGTCTATTTCTAGATCTTTAAAGTCAAACCATTGTGTGGTATCATTTGCATCTAAATCCACAAACCCTCCGTGACATATTTTGTTGACATTAATTTGAAAATTCTACTCATTAACTATTTCGACGATTTTGTTTGAAGAGAAATCATACCGAGGGAAATGATTTTCTGGAACTAAATTACTTAGATCAATTTTAGTCATATTGTTCGAGGACAAATCGGCCAAAAAATAGACATCGTTGTTCCCACCAGAGCGTATGATTCCATGTTTTAAATTCCATTATGAATTAATCTTAATTCTCTAAATAAAGGTAAATTTTTGAAAGTGCTATTCTCAATTGAATCGATGGTATTATAACTCAAATCCAGTGTATCTAGCATCTGTAAACATGAAATGTTGCCAATCGATGAAATTTGATTATAAGTGGCTTCAATTTCTACGATATTAACAAAATCGCAAACATTATTTGGTAGTTGGGATAAGAATCCTTTGTTATGCACCAAACGTGAATTCGTAATGGTTGTATATCCTATCAGTTGAGATGTACCTCCTCTACGTGTATACTCCAAAACTAACGCATGAGTCAATGGATTAAATTTCCAAGACGGTTCTTCCCTGCACGTGCAACACTGATTTTACGTTCTAACGTGAAGTGTCGGATCTAGAGTACAATGATCAGAAGGACAAAGGAAGTCTGTTCTGTTGACAAATGGCGGATTCCACATTTCCCATGTCATTAATGTAGCGTGATGTACAAACTGAGCAATAAATAGAACATTTGCTAGACTCGCATTTATTGTTAAGCTGAAGCGATTAGTAAACTTTTTTGTATTTATACTCGGTGTAAAAGAGAATGAATAATTATTCTATTTTAACCAATAGAATTATTCAAAACAACCATACGGAACATTTAAATGCTTGTGTAAATCCAATGAATTAATCATATCAAAATTTAATAAACCATTAAACGTGTTTTTACAATAGCTTACAATATGTTATTTCTATAACGATAAATAAACAGACCACTCGCGTTGAAAACTTACAATAAAAAGTACAATAAAACACAATATTTAATACTTATAATACAACAAGTATATATACAAAACCATGTACGTGTGGATATTTGATAGGCCCCAAATAACACATTTTACTAGATCCTGGTAGACAAATAACCCGATAGCCAGTGGATAGAAGAGGGCATATAAGGGACTCTATGATAACATACCTGTCAAAAATATCCTTTATACCTGTAATCATTGACAGGACGGAGAACACGCTCTGTTTACACACATATCTGCAAAAACGACAGTCCATCTGGTTTTTGATTCAAAACAACCCGAAATACGTGCAATGCGGAAATAATACCTCCCTTCTATTACCAACAGTGGAGAAGATTCCCTTGATGGCAAGAGTAAACCGTTGGATTTTTTTATACAGTTCAGCATAGAGCCGGTAGGGTAGAGATATGTGCTTCAAGAAGACCGTTATAAGTCCGTTTATTGTCTCCCGGAACCGCCCCCGAACAAGATCTGCGACTTCCTAGTTTCATTGCTTAAACTAACAATTATCTTTTATTATAAAAAGTTTGATATGTACAAAATGATTCAATTCTTTTTTTTTAATTTTATTCCCTTAATAAGATATGTAATCTATCTAGAACAACGATACAAAATTTAAAGTAAGTCATAAACGGTTAATGTCTAATCGTCAGATCTTTAAGAACTTTCTCCACATAATCGACATAATCAAATTAATTCTTTCGTCACATGAACACAGTATACATAAATTTACTAAATATTTCATATTTTATATTCTTTACATGCAATTACAAGTACAAACTCAAATATTTACAATACATTATAGGTTACAATAAACCATAAGATTTTATGAACGCAGCCATTTTATGAAGATAACATGGTAGGTATTCAGAATTAAGAGTATGGCTAATCCTGATTGGTCGATATGTGCACCCGTTATTTTTTATTATAAGAGACTTCGTGCACTCTGCATTAAACCAAAGGCAAAATAGTATATTTTCCTTAGCCCTAACGGAACTGAGATGTCTTTTCTACGCTAAGATGAGACACGTGTTTTTAAGTGCAAATTTGATAGGCAAGGGAGATAAGTACAAATTACGTCAAGAAAAGACACGGGAACATATATTTTTAGACCAACAAATACTGTCCGAATAATTTTTCTTTAATTGTAGCAAGGTTTGGTTAAAAAAAAATCAACTTTCTAAAGTCTATATCTCGAAAATGCTATCATTGTCGCCTATGGGGAAATGAATTGTTTATTGCAATCTTAAAGGGAGTGATGGATGGGATTTTTTGTTAATCAAATTGTTTAAATATAGTTAAAATACTGGCATTCCTCAATACGTGTCACTGTAAGCTGACACTTTTATAATAAAACAAACTTGTGTCTTTCTATGTTGTGATGTAACACTATTTTTTCAGATAAGGGTGAAGGTTTGGTACCATTAAAACGTTCAAACCCGCTGCAGTTGTTTACACCTGTCCTAAGTCAGGAATCTGATGTTCAGTAGTTGTCGTTTGTTGATGTGGTTCATAAGTGTTTCTCGTTTCTCGTTTTTTATATAGATTAGACCGTTGTTTTTCCCGTTTGAATGGTTTTACACTAGTAATTGTTGGGGCCCGTTATAGCTTGCTGTTCGGTGTGAGCCAAGGCTCAGTGTTGAAGACCGTACATTGACCTATAATGGTTTACTTTCATAAATTTTGACTTGGATGGAGAGTTGTCTCATTGGCACTCATACCACATCTTCTTATATCTATTTACACCAGTGTGCTCATTTAATTCAAATATCCAATATACTATAATTACTAATAATAAAATGATCACTGGCGTGAAAATTTCAATACAATATAGATGTATATATTGATTTAATACATACATTGTTTACTATGTATTATTAAACCTTCAAGTACAATTAAGTGCAGATAAAGCACAACATTAATTAAACGCACATTAACGACGCGTGCATCCAATTTTCGCGTTAACTAGTAAAAATGGAAATTTCTAATGTCTTCTTGAGTAAGCGCGCGTTTTTTCAGTAGTTAACGGGCGTTTACTTCAGATTTAACATCTTTACGTGTACTTAGAAAATGCTCTTTACTCTGCAAGTTAACTATTTGTGAAAATTATAAATAATCTATATTATCTTGATTAATCAATGTCTTTCAGTACGGATATTGAAACGAAGACGGGGTACTGTCTATGGGCCTTCAAAAGGATTTTGTATTTTTTAGACAGCAACCCAACAACATTTCTTATAGTATGGATCTAGGGTAGGGTTCGGCCTATGCTTTTTCTCTAGGACTTCACAAATATATATATTTTTTTTTATTTTTAGTATTTATAACTTCCAATTTACAACATAATATACACAAATTATAATAATATATAATACATAAATCTATTGATATTATACAATTATAGCCTTTGTATGAGGTCGATACGAGGTTATATCGACCCAAGAGAAGCATATCGACTGAGGACGAAGTCCGAGGTCGATATGCTTCTCTTGGTCGATATAACCTCGTATTGACCTCAAACAAAGGCTACAATTGTTATATTATTAATCTTGAACTATTGCATGAACACAATATATGTATTTGCAGAAAGGACATCTTCCATGTCTTCAAAACCATTATTACTGTGAAATTTTCAAATGTACATAACAGAATCACAACAATCAATATATAGATGTTTCTTATTTAATTGAAACAAGATATAACAAATAACAGATTAAGTAACAAGAAATTTACAACAAAAACATTTTGTATATGAAGCTATACCTTTGCTGGGTTGTTCACATATGGGTGAACATTGTAATTTACATTAACAGTTACATTGCTACAGTTATTTAGAAATGGCATTTTCATATCTGGATATGGTTCTTTTAAAAAATTTGGATTTGGCATCAATGTCTCTGGCTTCATTATATTTGTATTTCTCTTTGAGGCACCATTACTGATTTCTGTCAGAATTTCATCAAATTGATCATTAGGCGATATGTCTTTCATAACAGTTTCACTCTGTGAGTTTGATAAAAGCTCTAACTCAAAATTTGCATCATTCAAGTCAACAGGAATATGTTCATGATTTTCCTCTCCTTCAACTGTAATGGTACTTTGAGACAAGCAAAGAAAATCAATATTAGATATACACGATTTCTTTCCACACGTTTTTGAGCTTAATATCTCCGACATATGCCGTTTTTTTTTCTCACAAGTTTTTCCAGAGTAAGTTTTTAGAGATGTTTCTGATTTATGTCCCGTAACTGTCATTATATGTCTGCTTGGAATATCCGCTTCGTCAAGAAGATGAACAGTTGTTGCTCTGCAAGAATGATTTGTATATAGTTGAGAAAGACTTGCCATTTTGCTAATTTCATTCATGAATTGGCCAAGTCTATTATGACCTAGAGGTACATTGTCATAATACACGCCTTCTTTAGGGTATGATCTTGCTTGTTGAAATAATTTAACACACTTTGGATTCAACCTTCTGATATATTTCACAAAAGACTTTACTGGACATCTTTCGCCATCTGAAAAAGCATGTAAAACATTAAAAAAAAAAATACTCTAGATTAGAGTGTTCTGCAGCCAAATAAGGTGTTTTTTTTATATGATCATAGAGTCTATACAATAATTTCTTTATTATTTTTGGTATGTTTCCCATGCATATATTTATCATATTTAATGTACATTGTATTTACTAACTGTAAATATCACATTTGCCTATTAATGTACAAATGGCAAAATAATATTAAAATGTGTGCCACTGTGGTTCCAATCACTTGATGAAAAAAAATGGGATACATGTATGTAGGTAAGTTGTCACTGTTGATATTTTTTTAACACACTAACGGTTATTAATTATGAAATGAATCATGTATATTTGAGTTTTAATCAGGTCAATAAAACTAGTGTGTGGTTCAGATAACTTAATGAAAAAATGTAGGTTGGTCCATTTGTTTTCTTTTTATTTAAATGCAATGGTTAAATATAGATTGCATCTCATGCATATAAGTCATGTAAGTATACAAGTTATGATCAAGCCAAGAAAAATAATGTTTGGATACATTAAGTTAATGCAAAAAACATTAGAATAGTTACAATGTAGGTCAATATATATAGATAAAAGTTACCTGTTATTTCATACATCCGTCCATCTGAGGATAATTCACTGTCTGATTGGTGGTTTTTTGTTTGCTCATCAATTACTTTGTAGACATACAACTTTTCATCAGCACCACGCTTAACTGCAAAATGCTTTCTTGTAAGATTGGACAGGTTTTCCCTCCCTCTACGACCAAAGTGCAGCATGATGTCAACAAATACCTAAAACATAGAAGAAATTTTATAATTCATTGTCATTTTTATTGAAATGGACAGTACATTGTATGTACACAAAAAGATACTCAAGACACACACAGTTTTCATTATTGTATACCCCTTTTCTCAATGAACACACGATAAGTATTTTATTGTACATGATTATATAATTCTGCTATAAGTGTCACACTGTTTAGATCATAGATGAATGTGAAATTTTCTGCTAAATATACATGTGCAATAAGCATGTACATGAATAGGTTCATATATATACACATGGTACACCCAGTATGATTTTTCGTATCCAATGTCCTTTGAAGCGAAGTCATCCTGACTTTGAAATTCACAATAGTAGGTTTATATTTACACCAATAAGGCATAATGATCCATTATGCATGGAATTAAAAAAAAATGTCACATGCGTTATAAAAATTACCTTATACTGCAAAAGCTGTGCATCCTCCAGATTTTTACAAAAATATGAGTACATCTTCTCAATATCACTCTCTTCTATGGAAGGGTGTTGTTCAATTGCAGCTAACCCAAGGCGCTTGAGTTCCTTTGTCATACCCTTGAAGGATTTAGTGGATTTTTTGAATATATCTTCATTGCAAATGTCTATGTCCCTACATTTCTGTATATGTCTGTTTAAACCTTGTCTATAGGATTGCATAGTTGTCTTTTTATAATGTTTTCCCTCCTTACTTCTCATTTCCAAATAAAATGATGCCAATGTATCGTCCAGTTGCTCCACAGTGTACTGTTCGAATTCTATCGGCTTGCTTTTCTCGGTCAAATATTCCCTGAATAGTTTAACAGCTGTGGTATTCTGTCTTTTTGTGTTTTTCGTTTCTATATTTTCCATTATATCGTCCCTTTCATCTTGTTCCAGGGACGCAAATCTACTTTCCGCCATGATTGTCTGCAACTCCTGCAAACTGTCTACACAGGAAGTCGTTTTGATTGGCCGAGAAGAACATGTGACGACAATTGGGGATTTTTTTAAATGTATTTTTAGTAACATGCTGTATGCTCTGTGCAATATGCTGTTTTTGACCTACGAAACGCTAAATATAGCAGAATTAGCGTGCAGCCTGAGTAAATACAAAACAACATGTGATCAAGTTTTAACGAATCACGAATCGCTAAAATAATACGATTAATAATATTATCTAATGAATACATCTTTATTCATCTAGACATTGAATTCTATTTTAGTATAGTAAATACAGCATTTTCATTTATAACATGTATAATATTAAATGTAAAGTATATACATTTTTGTACTTAACTAAGTAATCTATCAAAAATATTCCATTCTCTGAGAAAATGATGTTCACATTTGTTTTTCATAGCAATATTTTTGTCAATTGCATACACATATTTCATCTTCTCTTTTACTGAGTTTATTGACAGTTTTTTTTTTTTTAAACATCTGGTATTATAAACATATTGCTTTATGGTAAGAAAAAGAGTATTTTCTGCATTGCCTTTTGATATTTTTGCAATGTTACCAAACAAAAAAACTTCTTTTGTAAAAAGTACACTAATTCCATTGGTCAGAAACCAATTTTCAATCTGTTCTAATAATAATTGTGTATGTTCACATCCCCAAAATAAATGTTCTAATGTTTCAATTTCTCTATTACAAAATGTACAATTTGGAATATTATAAATCTTAATTTTATGAAGAAATCGGTTTGTAGCTAAGATTCGATGATTGAATCTATACTGTAGTCACAAATATAGTTGAGCCCGTCTTTAGAATATTTTAAAGTTTTATAGGTATATTATTTACCGGCTTATGCCACCAGTTTATAATTTTTTTAAACCTGTGTGTTCAAGACATAATATATCTGATGGTTATAATATCCATACCTCCACTGTCATAAGTAGCTTCTAGGACCTTATTCAAACAGTTGATAAAGAGTGACTAGTCTGCTCTTATAACCCACTAGATTCTAACCTTTGACCTTGACTGCAGTCATACTTTCATAGTATCCGACTATCTATACCACCATGTAAACAAGTCCGGTTTACAACCATCACGAGACAGGACAGGACCTGGCAGTGTACCAATTTAAGGTTATTGATGGAGTTTACCAGAGAAGTCACAAATTCAAGTGTTCTCGATGAAGTTCAGTAAATTATTTATCTTATCGGTTTCATATCACAAGCATCAAGCTGCATCTAGGATACAATGTCTCTCATTATATTTAATTCTAACTCAAATATGAAGAACAATCCCAATCTATCTTTATAGTTGGCTTTAGAGTAAAAGCTACTACATGTAAATAAGTCTAGGGTTATACAAAGAATAAAGGTGGAACAGAGCAACGGACAAAATGTAACTAGCCCGACTTGATGATAGTGGTCGTTTCAATCACGGGAGAACAAAAGTGTAGCCAGACTTTTTTTAAAGCTAGTTGTCAGTTTCAGGACCAGTAAATTAACAAGGATACAAAATATTTAAATAATAAGTACCAGTGTGTAAATCACTGAAAATTTAATCAAAATGGTCCCGTTCTGTCCTGAGAATGCTTACACGCAAACGGTCTGTAGACATGAAAGGCTGAAAAGCCTTTCAGTAACTCAATCTTGCATACCAAAAGTTCAGAATTGACAGATATCAATAGTATCAAACCATGAAAGTTAATTCTCATGGGGAACGGGGTCAAATCTATGTAATATTCTGTACAAAGGGGAGTAACAAAGAGTAATGTTAATCACAAATATTAACTCAGGCCAGGAACAAGGCTTTTCTCTGTAAAAGAATAAACAAGTTGCTTTTTAAAAAAAAAAAGATTTGTGAACCTTAGAACTTTTTTATTCTAATTATTAATTCAACTGAATAAAAAATTATATATCAGTGTTTGCATGGTCATGTGTGTGGAAGATAATATTTTCTTTTTATTGTAAATCATTAAATTTTTGGCATGTTGAGAGAAGTGTTAAATATAAAGCAATGAGGAAAAAAAATAGATTCCCAGACGTTTAATTTCTTAAAGAATAATAATGATTCAAAACATGAGGGACAGATGTACCTTCTTCCAAAAATTCATAAAATTAATCTAGAAATAAGTAATGAGGCATTGCGAACTGGTCAGCTAGCAGGACACATTAATGTTCGCATAGCCAGAAATTAGTAGTACTTTTGCTAATTAATATTCATAATATGTAAATGAGAATTGTACCACGTGATAATAGTTTGAACTGGACTGGCTTGATATCATTAAAATCTTTAAAACACGGATATTATAAGTTGCCCGTCACAGAGTCCTTGTTTCTAATCACTCTGATATTTCCGTAAAGTTGTCAGGCTGTCAAAATCAAAACAATGAACGCGAAGTTAATGAATTTTTCGTGTTTTCGTGAGTTTACTCTTCTTTAAATAGGGCCCTTTTAACTTTACGTGGGAACCTAGAGTTCAACGACTACAAGGTTTGGACTTGCTTATTCTTTGGACATTCAATTTTCACCCCGGCTACCTGTTTTTGTAATGACCTTGTTAGCCAATTTTCAACACGAAGTTTGCAAATTTGACGTTTCAGCCATTTTAGCCTGTATTTTATACTGCAATGTTAAAAGCCTCTCGCTTCGATTTTTAAATAGCTCATGATCAGGAACCTTGATTTTTGCAACGACAGTCATTATGTTTCGTTTAAATGGTGTATATTGTTGTGTATATGTATTTTCTGTCCCCGCAACCTGTCTATCACTTAAATCAAAGTTAAAACAGACATTTTGTTTTTCAAAATTCCCTATCATTTCAATATAATTTCCGTGACCCGTATCCGAAATTTTTTTGTATAATATTCAAATAAGCAAAGTGGCGTTGATTTCTGGATATGGTTACCGACCAATCATCAATAAATGCAACTCTCCCGCGAGAGATACTTACTTGATCTAATTATAAAACCATTATTGAAGAGGCATAACTTTTACATTCAAGATCAATAGATTCCATTAATAAAATAGAGTCACACAAGGTCAAAAAAGAATGCATTCTTATTGCCTATGATGTACGTCAAGGTACACAAATATGATCATTGATAATTTAGAAGAAACTGTTATCAATGCATTAGAATTAATTGACACACGGGAGAATATACTTTAAAGATTCTCAACAAAATAGATTTAACTGTATTTGTTAAATTAATTTTTAGAAACAATGAATTTGAGTTAAATGGACTGTTATACAAACACATTACAGGAGCGCCCATGGGTGGTATATTTTCACCAACGTGCACAGATCTGCATCTATCTGTCCTATTCATTAAAATCTTAGATAAGTTCCAATGGAGAGAAAACATCAAATTACACTGTCAATAGGGATGACTGTTTTATGATCTTCACAAGCAAATTAGAGCAAGTTGAAGATTTCTTTAACCTAGCAAACGAAATTGACCATCAACATCTAGTATGACCTATTTAGAGGGTGGTAAAGGGTTATTTCGTGCAACGTTTTCGGCCTTTTTATTTCACGTGATTTCGTGTTTCGATGTTTTATTTCTCGTTTTCTCGTGTTTGGTTCGACGTGCGTGCTTCGTGTTTTCCCTTAATTATTTTCCGTTCTCGTGTCGGTACTCTTATTCTCTCGTGCTTGTCCCGCATTTGATTAAAAAGTAAACCGGGACTAATTCAAAGTCAGCCCAGATATTGTTTTAAATTATAAACTAATTAACTGGTCCCAAGATATTTATTAATAGCCTATTGTATTACTATGATAAATCGTATGCAACTAGAGGACTCTAAAAAGTGACCACATGCAGACCCCCCCTTTTTTTACCACCCTCTATTTAGAAACCGAAGTGTACAAATGTGATCGATTCCATCATAATGGAATTCTTGATGTTAAGTCACGTATATTAAAACCACAGATTTACCAATCACTAGTGCACATCCAAAACACACATGAATTTAAGAGTATTAATTTACAGTGTGTGAATAATATAAGTAATAATAGTGACATCAATGAATTAAATAAACATTTAATTAGCTTACAAGATAACTTAATTGATAGAGAATACTGTAAAAAGGAAACAGTAAAAGTTGTAAAAAAATGTATATTAACGAATAGTCTTTTAATATTTTACTTGTTTTATTTTCATTTGAAACAGATTTGTCAAAATGACAAGTATGCATAATGATTTCATTGTTACAAATCAAATCCCAAAGCCCACTATAACTGATTATGTATAAGCCACAGCACTATTTTAAAATATCTCTCTGTGAATATCTAGACACAGATGTTTGATACCATATGCATAGGTCGTTATAATTAAATCTTCACCATTTATCTTTCACTTGTTTATCAAAGGGTACAACTGTCAACTTTGCTCAAGTCAGTAAACCCTTGCAATGCATAAAATGTAGCTTTACAATAAATATACATGTTTGAATATGGAAAGCCTCAGCTGTCATATATTAGAGATTTACAAAACGTTATGCTGAAGCTTAAAATGTAAAGTTAAGACAGCGTGATGTTGAATTGAGTCATCAAAATACTTACTCTAAATTACAATATGCTAAGTTGAATTTGCTCAATGTTGACTTGCAATGACAAGTGCTTTAGTCGTGAAAGTATAATGATAAGTCACGATGTTGTGATGATATGCCAAACACACGTAACGTTGGGTTTAAAGTACATGATGTGAAGTTGACGTTGCATGATGTTAGCTTGCAGATGTATACTGCTCAGTCGTCCACTTCGATAGCTATGATAACAAATAAAATGAATAGCTAAAATGTATGGTGCTGACTTGTTATTAATAAATGTTGAGCTGAGATAGTACGGTGTTATATCATTGTGATATTACGATTGGTCTATCATGCAATATGTTGATTTAAAACACCATGATGCACAGTTGAAAGTACATGATGTTAAGTTAAGATAACACGATGCTACACCACTATATTGAAACGAAAGGTTTACTATACAATTTGTTGACTTAAAACAACACGATGCAACGTGTTAAGCTAAGATGCTCACTTGAAACTACACGACGTACATTTTGTAATGTTAAGCTACGATAGCACGATGTTATATCATTATAATGACACAATAGGCTTATTATACAATTTGCTCATTTAAAACTACATAACGTACAGTTGAAAGTACGTGATGTTAAGCTAAGATGGCACGTTGTTATATCAT